GTGCCTAAGGTCAAGGTTTTGACCTTCAGGCTTAGTTCACTACACCTAACCCTACTCTTCCACCACCTGAGGGAGAGAATAGGAGAGGTCCAGCCCCTCAGGTGATGCTATATTAGCTGGAAACGAGCAGACAGGTAGAGCTGGGGAGAAGGGAGGAGCACAGGAGAAGCAGAGAGATGAGCAGGCAATGAGAGACAAGTCTAATGACTTTTGTAACGGTGACCCATGGGAGCGTTCACAGCCTTTCTCAGTATAATTTGCATTTTCTGTTGCTTTAGTTCTTGGAATTAAACAATGTTAAAACTAAAAGAGGTATATTTGAACAAAGCTATATCAAAAGTGTGTGTCTTTTTAACTTGTGATCTTTTTTCTTCAAAACCCTCCAAATATTCTCTGTGAAGGAGTCAGTTTTAGGTGCTTGTAATTCATCATAAATATCTGCTAATTTGAGTCATGCACTGTATTAAAGCTTTAAAAACATGATTTGGGGGATTGGGATGAGCTAAATTGTTCGATATTTGGAACCAGACTGTATTAAAAATGTAATGCATATAATGATCAAATATGAACTATAAATGCTGCCTTATCAATAACAGGTGGTTTGCCTGTTTTATTACCAATCATGTGGGTTTTAATGTTCATGTATTTTTAGAGACAAAGTTCATAAATTGTAATTTATAACTACAACCTTCATAATGAGCAAGTTGATTGTCAATGATAAAACTCCTAAAGGTTGAGTCAGAGAGTCAGAGTCAGAGTTTCTTTATTGTTATTCGCACCTCATGTGGTACATGTGGTGGAGCGAAATTATGTACACAGGGTCCCAGTTACATCCAACAATAAAGTGTATAAGAAAAACAGTAATAACATCTAAGATATGAACTAAGAAAAACATCAACTAAATATACACTAAGCACTCATAACATAAAACATTGAACATCAGCACAAACATGAACATGAGTCTGTGAGCAGATGTGCACGCATGAACACATCAACATGAAACAGATCAGCAGCAACATGAAACAGATCAGCAGCAACATGATATGGTTTTTCACAGTGATTATTCTAGTTAGAGATTCATGAGTCTAACAGCCTCAGGGTAGAAGCTGTTCCACAGGAAGGGTGATTTTGCTGTTAAATAACTTTGTTAAATTCAACCAAGTGATATTTAAAATAAAAACTATATCACAGGTGGTCCTTTGTTCAGCACAGAAGAAGTTAAAACTGCAAAAATTTTTGCGTTTAAAATTGTTCTGTTTGTAAGAATATACTGGTATTATCAATGTATATGAACGGACAGACAGAAGATGGCTGTGTGTGTGTGTGTGTGTGTGTGTGTGTGTTTGTTGAAGTAACATTGTTCCTAATGTATGTGTTTCAGTGGTTCCTGTCCATGTGTGGTGCTGATTAAAAGAACAAGTTCCTCAAGATTGAAGGCCTGATGTGGACCAGCAGGACCCAGAGCCTCTTATCGTAGAGTGGAAGAGAAGATCCTTGGACCAGTGTGGTGGCAGACCAACTCAATATGGAGGAGACCAATATCAGGTTTTTGGTCACTACAGTTCCTTTAAAGAGTGAAGAGGATACTTTTTTTTTAACCAGGAACCCAGATTTAAAGACTCACAAAGACACTTCCAGCTCTTCAAAGACTGACGTTGATGAGGTTGATGAAGAGGATGGGGAAATGACCAGTCCTGACTCTCTGCTGAAGAACTCATCAGACTCTGAATCAGAACTTGAAGACAGCATGAAAGACTGGAAGGAGAGCAGGGCTCCTGAATCAGAGGTAAAAATTGTCAACAAATCTTTGAGCTGCTCTGAGTGTGGTAAGCAGTATGTCAGTAACTGGATTCTTCAAAGACACATGACAAGTCATTCACAAGTAAAGTCTTCAAGCTACCTGCATAATAAGAAATGTGTTGGAGAGAAGAAATATGCAGAGTCACGCATGAAAGTCCAGGCAAGGCCAAAATCATTAAGCTGTGATGACTGCGGTAAAAGATTTACTTGCAAATCAAAATTAAGCACACACATGAGAGTCCACACCGGAGACAAACCGTTTCCTTGTGATTTTTGTGGACAAAAATTTAGTCGGAAGGACAGTTTAGATTCACATATGAGAGTCCATACAGGAGACAAACC